CTGAAAATAAGAATAACTGCACGAAAATGATATATATAACAGACACGATGACTAAAGCGTAAACTGCAATTCATATTGTATGGAATTTAATGGAGGAAATTGTAATAATCTACAAAGGCTAACCAAATAAGCTAGCTAGCTTTTAGCTTATTTGGTTAGCTTATAAGCTTCCTGTATTTAAATAAATTTCGTTTGGTAAGACGAGTTTTTATTTTTCTTTTTAAAAAGCTCTAGCTTATTTCATAAGATTCATAAGCTTATTTTGGGTAACTTTACAAATAAGCTCGTTGAAATTTTTATTTCAGCTAGTTAGTCTATAAACTAATTTTACCAAACACTTTTATCATATAAGCTAGTTTTTCAGCTATAAGCCATAAGTTCACCATAAGCTATGAGCTATAAGCTCAAAAATCACTTATCACCTATCAGCTAACTTATAAGTTAGTTTTACCAAACATAGCCATAGCCAAAACCTCGTGTGCTTAAACATCATGGGTAGTTCTTGAAAATTATCCGTTGCGGGTTAACGTTGATACGAAATATAAAATAAAATATAATTAAATATATTGCTTACTAGGCGCTGTTGAGGAGTAGTTCCTCGCTCGATGGCTGCAGCCGGGGTGTCGTCAGGCAAACCGTGACACATCAGCTTCGATGAGAGTGAAGGGAAGGTCGATAAACCCATGTAGACAACGAGTGTAGAGTCTGGATCTGCTGCATGCTCGCCCACGAAAAGAGGATCTGCACCTCCCTTTCTCGAGTGCCCTGTTAGAAATCTAACGCTGTTGGCAATCCCACGATGTGTCAACGGGATTCCTAGCTCCGCAGCTATTCCAGAAGCTGCCGTTATGCCTGTCATAAATTGAGGATAAATATTCCATTTTTTACATTTTCGTCCAATCATTAATAGAAGATCCGCTGATATTTGGAAAAAGATTTACAAATTTATAACTTCAGAATATTACAAATTATATGACCTCATCAAATGAAGTCCTAAGTTTGAGCACACGAATAAACCGAAAGAATGAAGCATGGAGATCTTTAGCAAAATGAAAAAAATGAAAGCAAAAATAAAAAGTGGAGAGATGTTTGATTTTATTACATAAACCAAAATTTTACCTGGAATGACTTTAACCTCAATTCCTTGTTGTTGTAAAAAGTCCATCTCTTCTCCACCCCTTCCGAATACCTAAAAGCCAACAGTTAATCAACTTATCATCTATTTTGTGAAAACTTTATAGAGGGGCAAAAAAACCGAACTTTTGCACTCTTCCTAAATGGAGAAGGAGAAGGAAAAGGAAAAAAATGAGACGAGCAAACTTACCAAAGGATCTCCACCTTTAAGCCTTACAACACTTGCCCCAGCTTCGGCAAAGCTCAAAAGCAGTTCATGAATTTCCTCCTGCTTAAATCTTCAACTATAAATATCTTTCTTTTATCAATGAGACAACAGAACAATATAACTTCCAAGTGTTAAGAAGATGCAACCCAAATATATACATGCATATTTCAGGCAATGTTACACATTTTTCAGTATGTTAAAAAAATGTGATTTAGAACCAATAGAACTTAGCCAACTTGTTATATGTATTGCATGATCAGAAACATAGTAAACCGACTTTATTGGCACATCCATACATCATTCTTTTCAGCATAGCTCATTTTTTTTTCCATTTTACAGAATCATAAAACATTACGAAGTCAATTATTTGGCCGAACTGAAGAAAATGGATTGAGGGCACATTAAACAATGCTCATGTTCTATTTCTGAACACTATGCATAACCGAAACCGAAAGTCATGGCAGAACATACTGGCAAGTGAATCATATCTATCCATTGAAATCTCCATTTCACAGCTAAAGACAATCCATCATTCGCTTAAATCCAATCAACACAGCAATCAAGAATCTCAACCTCAACAACACAAACAAGAAAGTAATGAACATATCCCATTTCAGTAAAACTTGCAATTATCAGTCTTAAAACCAATCAACAGATAAATCAAGAATCTCAACCTCAATAACACAAACACTGAAACAAGAATGTAATAAACTCATCCCATTTCAGTAAAGCTTGCATTTTTCAGTCTTAAATCCAGATTTTTTAAACCGAACCCACAAGCACAAAACCTACGCATTACCAAAAAACCATACAATCGAACGAACTGAGGAAGACAACAATGACAACAAAACCAGACCAAACCTGAGTTCTGCTATGGTATCCAGCTGTTTTTCCGACATACAGAAGCCGAGCATTGGGCCCCACCAAATCCAGCACATCGTTAGAC